TTATAAACACAAGACCTTCTAGTTGGTTTTATAGGTATTTTATATTCTTTTTATTTATACGTGTACATACATATTTATCCGTAAAATATACAACGAAAAACGCAAACATTTCGACTATAGATTTTATGTTGAATATTACACGAAAAAAATAAATTTGCTGGAGTATTTAAAAATATAACTGAATATAGAAAATAATTTTATTGAAACGTCAAAATAATTACGTAGAAAACATGTGATAATGCTACGAAAAGTTTTAACATTCTGACAAACAATTTATAAGCGGTTTATATAATTATTTTGATGGTCCAAACAAAATTTTCAGACCTAGAGCGACAGTGACTATCAATTTAATTAAATTTTTAGATATTTCAGCAAAAATTTCTTTCTGTGCAATTTAATACAAAATATTCAAATAATACAGTCAAATTATTTTAAATTCACATTCGGATACGTTAAAAGTTCCTTATTAAAATTTTAATAAGGATTTGTTTTGACATAAATACAAAATGTTTTTTTACCGTGTAACTATAATTACTTCATTTCTACATCTGAAATCTTACAAATGAAAGATGTTATCCAGTTGAAAAATGTGTACGTTTCACCACAATCGTGCGGTGTCATCTCGAAATGAGAATCCAATCTTTTGGCGTGTAAATACGAAATATAAGCGCGGACTCGTATATTGTACAAGTTTATCGATAGCTCTAAACCACCTACCCCACAATCTGTCATTTATTGTCTGCTTTTGTGTACACGGCCCAAAGGTTGGTATTTTCACGACAATGTCGTAATATACCTACGGCGGTCACTGTCGACGTCACAAACGTTGCTTCCTTCCTTCGAGCTGTTTGCGACGACGACGACGACGACGACGACGACGACCACGACGACGACGACGATGAAAAGGTTTGTCCAAATTAGATAACAAAACGTGCATTCAATGCCGAAATGTTCTGTATGAACGAAGTGCATTATTGGAATTAATACGTTATGTTTGATGTCGAATCATCACGTCAGGAATCGATTGATCACATCGATTCTTTGAAGATTGCGAGAGCCGATACATGTAAAGCGAAATTTTAAAAAGTACGTATAAAATGGAAATTGCATAAATTGCTACAGATTTTTATAGAATAGATTTTAAAAGTCAAGGGAGCTTCCCGAAGAGAAACCACGTTATTGATGCGTGGCTGATTACCCAAGTGAAAAAGGTCAACCGCGATCAGGCGGCTTTAACTACAATCAATGTTAAGGCTATAAGATATGTATAGTCTCTAATGGACGACTAAAATTGGAAATTTGTACTTTCTGCTTAAAAATAAATGTTATAAAATAGTTCAATAAGATCTATATTTATACTTAACGATACAATTTTTGTAGTTTATAAGTGAAAATGTCCTCATTTTGTTCTATCTTGATTATTAATTTTTAAAAATATGTTCACTTCTTATTAAAATAATCTTTTAAATCGCCATCAAACCTTTTACATTATTTTTCAATACAGAAATCTCTGTTATTTTTTTATTTGATTAAAAAATACGTATAATACACTTTTAAATCGTTGATATATGTATACCGACTTTTCGATGTAGAAGCGACTGGACAGTCAGTGTTTATATGCAACATTTATGCGACATAATGTCTAAATTTCACACTTTTCCTCAATCTCTTTTTTCTTCCTTTTTTTCCTATTTAACTTCTTTTTACGGTATTACGCAATAAACGGAGTCGGAATGAAAGGACTCAGCCAACGTGACGAATTCCATCTCGTTAACAGTCGCGACCATCGACCGTCGGCATATAAATTGCAAAGTGCACCCTCCTCGCTCTCTAATTACGAGCTCGGGGAAAGGGGCGATCCTAACGAACTCGCAAGCGACGTTGTGATCACATCCATAAAGTCACTCCATAAAGTCACCCCATTCCGCAGAGAATCGAAACGCGGCGGTTGTCGTCGCGCGCACGTTCGAATGATAGAATCAAATACTTGTCTCTGTCTCGTTGTGCCACGGCAACTACGAGAGAAAGTGCCCTTGTATTCTCTTTATGCGTGTGACACGTGGAAATTTTATTTAACTCTCCAATTGCATGATCTACCCCATATATATGTTGGCATTGCGCAAGTCATCGTGATCCACTTACCATCTTAATTATTCACGTTTATCCTCCCGAGACTTGAGGATCTACACTTCTAGCGCGATATGGGAGGGGCAATACTCGTTGGCATGTTTTCGGTTGAGGTGTTGGCAGAAATTACGGATATTGCTTGAACTAGGCGTTGTTGCATTAATATCCGCTATAATAATTTGTAACGGTTTGGTTATCTTGATATTGCTTGCGAAACGTAAGACCGATATGTATAAATGTGAAATTTGCGTGCTCATGTTATATTTCCATTTACCGCATCACTGATCCGTCTCGGAGCAATTCATGTTTGATGTACACTCACAAGGGACTCACTTGCGATCATAAATATTGCAAGATTTCGTTTCTATTCGATAAAATATCCCTTCAAATCTATCTTCCCCGCTTTATAAGTAAATGTAAGAAGATACAAATTAAAGTGGTTCATTTTAATCAGTCCACTAAAATATCTCAAAATTCCTAAGTAAGACAAATATTACTTACAATTATTTTAGGAAAAAAGATGGTGACCCTAAGACCATGTCTTTAAGATCAAGTCAAGATTTTTAAAATTTCTTAAATATCAACCTCCATTTTTCACTGCATATTCTTGTAGTTAATATAAAGACGTTCTTCACTAGTTACAAATCTTTTTTCGATGAGAAGTTTTTGAGTTATGAATTCTCTGTGCGCATTAAGGACCCTGTATTTTTGGATACAGTTTTATTTATTTATAAAATGGCAAGGATACATTTTAAGAGATGTTTTATCAAATAAAAACTTACATATCGACATATGTGGATTTCAAGTGAATCTTTTGTCAGAGAAAAAAGACGTAGTGATAACATAGCAACAATTATAAAAGTAATTACTAGTTTTATATATAGAATTAATGTAAATACATATAGTTGAATAGACTATGTATTTTATAGTTATTGCAACTAGAAAATAATTTGTTTAATTATATGTACGTTAATTTATTCGACTATATACATTTTTATATATAAAATTTACATAGTTGTTACCTTTATTGTTGTCATCATTATATTTTTCTCTGAGCGTAGAGTATCACGAAAGCACATCTCATCTACCATTATACATTATTCATCTGATTTCATTTTCCGATCTTATTTTTGATCGGATTTTGATTATGTTTCCTCGGAAAATGGTGAAGTTGCATCGGAGAAAAGTTCTATGGATACCAACATCCACTTTTTACCTTGCCTCTCAGAAAATGACGAATTCACCTGTATTTCGACGGCAAAAAATTACTTTGCAGGTCCTACATGGGCTCTTGGGAACATGAAATAACGAGCGAGAAGCTCGAGCGAGGTGTTCGAGGATGAGGCTGTTGAAAAATTGAACACACAAAGGAGGCACATAAGCTTCACTTGACTTACGCGATGCATAGTTTCTTATCCCATGTGTTGTGGAAGAGCCACTCGAATAACTTTTACGAATATAGTGTTGCTACCAAAGACATTATTGCGAAGTGACCGTATAAACTTTTTTTCCTTTTCTCGCTTATACTAACTACACCGCGCCGAAACTGCCCGTTTCTTACCTCATGTATATGTGAAACTTGTAAACGTAGGTATTGTGTGAAACCTGGCATAATAAACATGACACTGTCATATTAATTTACTTCGCAACACCTCAATTTCTTTACTTATCTCATTGTTAATGGAGTAAATAAATACAAAAAAGGAGAAAAAGATTTTCTTGAAACACAGAATAGGAATTGAACACGCATATCCTGCATTAATAATCATTAATTGTAATTTTTACATAAAAAATAGAAATTTATTTAAACTTGAACCTCGCGATGTGATAAATATTAAATTAATTTTGAAGAAGATGCCTTCCGTTTTTATGTCTTTGCAGTGGCAAAACTATGAAGATTAGTCTAATAGTCATCGGCCCAGTTTGTCTTTATTGTCGTTCTTAATATCGGTCATAATCTTATAATTCGCTTTATACACTTAGCAAACGCTTAATTATACTAATGTTTTTATGCGATCATATCCTATGACAAAATTACTCTACTAATGATGCGCGCCATTTTATTCAATTTTCGATATTCAATTTTCGTGGCAGTTGAAAGGATAAAATTTTTCATGTACAAAAAGTGCGATGTTAATTTGCTCGAATTAGCGCAAGTAGCTGAGTGCAAAATTGAGTCGACAGAGAAACAAGTGACGTCGTTGCAGACGAAACGACGTTTCCGAAGCCACGAATTTTATCGTTAAGCCAGAGAGTTGGAGAAGTTTAAGTAAGCAGCTTTGCCTTGCAATTCCTGTATACGGTAATATATATGGCAGTTGGTTTCCAATAAAAATTGTGTGCTATCAACTTCTTCGTATTTCCAATTATCCCGTACATAAAATTTTACCAAAGCGAGATCCGTTTAATATTAATTATTCACGGAAAAAACGCTACGATTGCTGCAACCAGAAATAATGATAATTTTCGCTTATCAATACATTTAAGTTGATTGTAATAACCGTAAGATGGACATACTTTAACCATAGCCAATAGTTAAGATATGCCAATCTTATGGTTATCATAATCGTAGTTTAGTTCTTATGACCAAAAAATATATTGATGGGCATCTTTTGGTCATGGCAACCGTAGTCTTTTTTCCATGCACATTAATTACATTGTCTTTTTCATGTTTTTAATTCATATCGGATTTGAGGGGCAACAACCGTCATAAATGAATAATCCCTATGCCACTTTCCGTTTATATTGCACTCTGCGAGGCGAGACGTTTTAAATGAATCACTCTATATATATTAACGTATGTACGTGACGAGAGGCTCGTCAGTGACCTAACCAGTCGACGATGCCTAACTTGGTAAATCTTGCGGCGAGCCATGGTCGGTGTATCTTGCAACGGAAATCTCGAAAGGCCACAAATCGAGCCGAGCACAACCGCGCCTGCGGTCGATACTCCTGAAGCACTTTCGGAAGGTGATACTCGAAATTTGCTGTGACTACCTCTCGACGGCAACCCGGAAACCGATATTCACATAGATCTCTCGAACTAGTGCCTCGCCACTGATTTCGCCGATGTATATATGTTCTCTATTCGAATCCTCAATTTTACAGTTTGGAAATGGAGTAACGATGAGGTGGGAGTGGACCAAACAAAGATTTATAAAATTAAATACAGTCTTACACAATTAGAAAGAAATTACACTTCACAAATTCGAAATAGTCAAATTTTTAGTTTTAACTTTAATTTAACAAGATGAATGTTAGGAAGTAACATGAATATTATGCAAAGATACAAAAAACACTGTATCACAATTAGGAAATAAATTGTAGAGAAGCATATTTCTTTAGTAATATAATATATCAGCATATAATGTCAGCATATAATCTCAAAAGTAAGCTTCTTACTACGTCAAGTGTTTTTTTTTTGTTTTTTTTTAATGTGCTTGAAGACCTCGAAGTTTTTACTTAATATATTAGCACCCAGAAAAACATAATTTAATAATAGACCTGATGTGTATGAGGTGTTATAATACAGTAAAAAATTGTAACAATTACGTTGTAAGTCCTTACAATAACACCTCGTATATTGTTCTCCCTATATTTTTCTGGGTATTAATACAGCAAGCTGGTTTTTTTTACTTTGTAAATAACACATTATCACTTCGAGTGTACCTGCGCATGATTCTTATTTGCTCTTATTCTCTTTTGATAAATTTGAAAATTTAGAAAATAAGAATCCTTATTATTTGAAATTTTAATTTCATATTTTTTAATAAAAAACATTTATAATAAACTGTGAAATAAACATGTATATTCGTCTTTTATTTATTTATTTTACAATTAGTATTTGTGTTTTAAAACTACATTAATTTTTTGTTATTTAATTACTTATTCATAAATTTATTTTAAACTAATTTAAAGAAATTTAACACAAAATGTTAAAATAACATAATCATATTATACGAAATTAACATTTGGGTATGTTAAAAATTCGACAAAAAATTTTAACAATGTTTGGTTTAATACAAATTTTTACATTTTTGTGTAAAGTTTAACAAATTAAATTTCTTTTTCTCTACTTCCTTTCTTTATGTTTGAAACTTAAATCAAATAAAAAATTAAAATTAAAATTTCTACGAATAAATCATTATTTTCTCTCTCGAATTCGCGTAAAATTTTGGTATCAATCATAGTCAATTTGTTATCAATTATCTTTGCTTGTAGATTTGATCTCAACCTTGGGGATATAATCGGGAAATCCCCTATTCATATGTATAATGTATTACAACCTGGATTTACGGATCTACCGAGGATCTTATTGGTAAATGGTTTCACGATTCTCGTTCCAGGGGATGGCAACGTAACGTAGCAGCGGACTACTAGCCGGCACGGTTACGAGATGAATACGAACGGTAACGCGGTCGGGCAGGAAGGTGGTGCCGGTTGGGCAGGCCACCGCCACCGCCGGTCGTGGTGGCCGCGGCGTCTCAGGGCAAGCCGGTGCTCACGCGGCAGGATCGGGCGACCTTCCTGGTTGCCTCGCCGCAACTGTCCGTGTCCGGGCTCGGCGGCTCCGAGGAGAGCGGCACCAACGAGGATCCGGCTACCAGATCGGTACCGGACATCGAGCTTCACTGCCGGCTGGACGGCGAGCCGCAGCCACCACAGATTCAGCAGCAACAGCAGCAACAGCCGCAGCAGCAACAGCAGCCGCAGCCGCAGCCGCAGCTCCAGCAGCCGCAGGTGCAGCAGTCGCAGTTGCAGGCGCAGCCGACATCTTACCGGTCGTCCAGACAGTCGCATCAGTACAGATGCAGGTGCGACCGAAGGGATTCCCTTGCGCCCACTTCGGCCCTTCATTTGGCCCGCAGCGTCTCTAGGTAAATTTTTTCGGAAAAAGGAATAACGATCATGTGAAAAATGCTGTTTTTTTTTCACTTTGTTTTCTGTGTTTATATTTCCTTCTCTCTTTGTAATATAAAATAGCGCAGTAATTTAATTTATTGCTACTTTAAGCTATAAAAAGAGAGAAATAAATATTTAGAAAAAGCGAGAGAGATATATATATATATATATATATCTAGCGTCGAGTGTTCAAATATTTGATTTTTTTTTCTCCATCAGATAATATCGTATTCCGTGGGTCACTGTTTAGTTTTCCATCATTACGTGAGCTAAACATACAATGGCCTTGACCGCATAAAGGAACATTCGATATGACCTCACTTTTCTACTTAATAGAGATAATATAGGCACATAGAAATAGTCGTTTCGTGTACTTGATCATCAATATGGTAGTGGCATTTATTTTTCATGAGGCAACCGCTGTATCGCGCAGTTTCACATGTTTGTTAATACGCGTACCTGGAAAAAGTACAGCCATTTATTCAATCGGAAATATAAAAGCACGAGCGTAGTTTTACATATCAACGTGGTTAAAATAAGTAAATATTAGATTTGAAATACAACGAATATAAAGGTGAAAGAAAGAGCTTTGATACTGTTACTCTCTCTTCTCTGCGAGGAGCCACATTTATACTTTTCAAGAAACCGCTAAATTTGATGCCACCACTAAACGACAGTTTGCAGAGCGAAATGAAAAGAAATTGAACGTTACTCGTTCGAATGACTGACGACCGTAGCTTGTTCATACGTGTACCGCAGCACGTGCTAAAAATATACCGTTTCTTTATGCGGTGTTACTTAAATTTGCATTGCATGACAAATAATCTATGAGAATTTAGCATGTGTCGAAAGAAGAAAACGACAGCCGTGCGGCTTTAACACGCATTCAGAAAGTTTTAGACTATTCGTGTAATTGGCAAAGTTTAACTACTCCGCGAGCATTAGTCGACCACGCCATTGTAAACTTGCGTTTGTACGGAATCGGGGCAGATAGTTTCAGATGGTTCTCGATAAGGAAACGCATGCACGAATCAAGAATTCGTTTTTCTCCTTTTCGATATTGCTTATGATTTCGTTATACGATCTTCGTATTATTTATTCATTGGGTACCGATACACTATTCCCGATACACCACTGAGACGGTGATGGCTCAGGTGTAGCGTACATAGACAATTTCCGATATTCATTGCACAATCAATCGCGAATACTATTCAAATGTCACGAAATTTATGACAGTTCGAAATTACATGACAATTCTGAGTTGTCAAAAGTGTTCTGAATCAACCTTCAAAGAATGGTTTTATGTACAAAAGATCCTTTCCTCTCCCATATTTGTATCCCCCGAAGTCATATGGAAAAAGTAGTTAAATTGGCCGAAATTGCATTGAAAATTGGTTATACGGACAAAATTTTTATGTTTGATTTATCCAATGGTTGATTCAATCATTATTTAGTTGCATTTGCTAATATGTAGTTTATTTATGTCAACATTATCTATAATAAATTGAAATAATTAAAGCAGCTCAACTAAATTATTTTGATAGAAATACTAGTAGAATTTATTTATAACTTTGCTTGGCATTTAATTACTTTTGTAATATATTTGTTTAAAAATACAAATTTCATGTTTTTCAACAAACTTTTACTTTCAATGTGTGGTGTTTTGTAACAGTATAAGATCCTGATCAAGTCTTCATAGCTATAATCATAAAAAACGAATAGATTTTGTTGTATTACTAATTGAATGTTGCTGTTTTGGATCTAATCGGATCGAAAAATAATCTTATCTATAATACACAATTTGTTTCTTTTTTAATTGTCTAGGCATTTATACACGTATAACGATATGTGTGTCCATAATATTGTCAGACATACTAATGGAACAGCTATCGACACTTAATACACATATCGACATATGTACATTCACATTATCTTCGCATTGAGACATGAATCTACAAACGACAAACATGCGTATGATTACATAAATTCTTAACTTTATTATATACTTATACAATAAAAAACAAACTATACGCAAATAAAGGTACTTTTTAGTACAATTAAACTCAAAATAGTGACTTTCAAATGGATCAAAATCTGTCTATTTTTGGTTGTGTCTATATAGAGATTTTTTATCATCATCTTATAAACTATAAAAAATATTACAATTTCAGTCAATTTTAATGAAATCACTTTTTCTTGTGATTAATGAGGAGTTCTTTATTCAGAAAAAATTTTTTCTCAAAATAAAGCTATCAGTCATCTTTGACTTCGTAAATTTCCTTGATGATTTTTGTAAGCAAATTTTTATTTCAATAATAACGCAATAATACTTCGATTGTAATATAGGAGGAACATGGGAACGCTTGTCCCCTTTAAATTTTAATGAGAAAAAATTATGAAATTGTGAAAATCATTGGCTGCGTTTAACAGAGAAAACGGCTTTGCAACTGTTGTAAAATTCTTTGATATGATTGATTTATACATTTAGATCCAGTAAGGAGCTAAAAAAAGGTCATCGATAATTTCTTACTTAGATTCTTTAATAACTTCACTGAAGCAGCGATTTTTCCGACGAGAACTTCCCGGCTTTTTCATTATTAGCACTATACTCTTTTAATATGTTGAATAATAGACATTAAAAGATTTGAAAAAAAAGCATACAATTTTTTCTGATTATTATGATTTGAATAATTTTAGCAATGAACTATGATACCTTCTCTGGAGAGATAAAAAAATTAAAAAAGAAGACGTTAAAAAGAAATGGAATTAGTAAAAGAAACCAAAACTGTCTTCCCAGCACGAAACGTGCCTTGTATATTTTCTTAGTCCAAACGTGCAACGATGAACAATGAGCACCATTGAAAGGTTTTTCAGTAGATACATTGAAAATCTGGTTGCTGTTAACGACATCGGAAAATCGCCTCAATGGACTATATATGCTAAGTGTATACAGAAAAACAATGCTCCCGATAAAAAAGAAGAAGAAATATTAAGAAAGTTCGCTGAAATCCTCGAAAACTGCTAATATACATATATAGTATACATTTTATGTGAAGGTATATTTTTACTTCTTCCCTGAAATCCTGCAGCCCATGCAGATTGTAACATTCGCCATCTTTAATACTTAAATGGTAGCTTTTTTTTACTAATGTTTTTAATTATTAGCTACATAAATTGATCAAAAGTTAATATTAAATGTACCTGATTGTGATTTTAAAATGCTACTAACCTATAAAACAAGATGTAATCTATTAAATTTTTATCTATATTACTCATTTCTCATTTATTTCATATTTTTGTTAATGAATATTGCTTATATTAAGTATTAATTTAAAATATCGAGATACGATTTAGAAGACCAATATACATTCAACATTTTTCCTAAGAAAATGTAGTAACAATTAATAGGGAAATTATGTTATTGTGACAACAAATACACTTTTGACAAATCATGATTGCTGTAGTGTTGAAAATTTTATTTTCCGTGTTCATAGATCTGAAAATAATTTTATTAGATTAACAAAATAATTATGTAAGAGACGCTCTCAAGTTGGTTGTTAGAATAAAACTTTTTGCAATGTTGCTCATCAAACTTGAGTTTTCTACGTAATTATTTTAAACAAAATTATTTTCAGATCTATATTTACTTGCATTTTTTAATATTTTAGCAAAATTCTTTTTGCTATACATAATCGTTTTTGAAAAGTAGTTCAGAACTTTTTTAACAATCCAGTATATTGCTCTTTGCATCAAAAAAAGATTTTTCAAATATCTTTCGTTAATTTGTTTTAAGGAATGATTACCTGGGATAGTCGTTTCTAAATTAAGGAACATTGTATTTACGGGTGGATTTTTATCTCGGCCACGAAAAGACAATCTGTTAGCGTCGGGAATGGCTGGAGCGGCCACTTTTATCTAAGTGCGCCCGGCAATTCGCCGGGAATCGCTGTTCTCCCAAAAATGCGTCGCTCTCGGAAAAATGCAATGCCTTTGTTTCCTTGAACAGGCTCGTCGAGGCAAAAGAGGCTTTCTCCCTTTTGCCGGTCCGGAGAATTCCTGACGCTCAACGCCGTCGCGTTTCTAGGATGATCACGTTCACCAGGTCAAAAGTTGAGCTGGTGAAATTTTATGTCGCCCTGTAACCTCTTCGGAGTCCGGGAAACGTACACCGGGGATTGCTGCGAGTAAAATGACATATAAAAAATGGCATTGCCGGGAATTCCCGACATGAAAATCGACGCTGTTGACCTTTCTCAAATCTTTTCATTTTGTGTTGAACTTTTCAGTATTCGTGGCTGTTATAACTGGTTAAATTTATTATGTATTAAACGTATTCTCATTTTAATTTCTACCAGACATCGAATAACATTAAATTGAGAACATAACTCATGTGTTGTAATGTCAAGGAATGATGTATAAGACACTAGAGTTACTAAAATATAAATTGAGGTGTCAACGGTTATATTCTTACATAAGAATAAAAAGACTTATGTAATAAAATTCGACAAAACAGACTTTAGGTACAGAATAGCAAAACTTAAATTAATTCCAAGTTTATTTTATTGATACCTTTTTTTAAATTTTATACTGCAAGAAGTTTAATGTAGAAGAGAATTAAAGATATTTGTTCTCTGAAAGATTTTGTATTGGTGTACAAAATATGTATAATTTTGCAAGTAAAATTATCAGGTCGAGCATATTACAGCTGGTACGGTATTGATATTGAACGGTATTCGTTTATCAAGAAAGTTATACTTTTGTAAATATATCTTTTGTGTAACGTAAAATAAGTATATTGGTAGTCATGAATAAAAGATTCGTTCTTATCTTAAGAAGCCACCCAGAAGTCAGGAAACTTCAGTTTTCATCGAACTTTAGTTTTCAGATTGAAGTGTGCAGTTAATGATATCTCCAGATGACAGACTTACCACCTGTCTTATAAACCGACAGGCTTTTGACTTAAAGCGCCTTTAGACAGA